CTCCTGACCCTCACTTTAGGTGGGTCAAAGGGGATTGTGCTGTACAATTTGCATTTCCTTTTGTACATACAAGGAATGCAAAACACAGCACTTTTGTTTATTTTGAGGAAGAGGAGGAAAAATACGGATTCCTCACTCTCTTTCTGAGCGCCAGTTGTCGAGACAATGACAACGTCAAATGACAAACTGTTCTAGAAAGGAGGGAGAGAACGGGTGGACAGAAGGTAGACCGAGCGCTCAGAACTTCACCCACCAAAGTGCGGTATGGGGAGAGGCGATCACCTCCTGCGTGGACTCATCGGTTGCCTTGTAAACCTCACCATAGGAGAAATCGTCCGAAAGAGGCCAACAATGCTACAATAACTTTTATTAGAAAGATGAACAAAAGTTGACTAAGTTGTAGGGAATGCACTTTAAATCAGCAAATTTTCCTACTTTAGACAAAGGGAGCACTTGTTAGCGCACACTCATGCACGATTTTACGCCAATTGGTAGTCATTTTGCTCTCATGGGTGAGGATTTTCTCAACAAACCTCCTCAGCATTTGCCTCCCTCCGTTTGGGTGACAAAAAATCTTTGCCCTCCAATCCCTTTCAGAACTGTAAAATTTCGCCGTGATTCCCGCAGCTAGAGAACTCAACTCCACGTTAGAACTTTTAGTTGCTTCAAAAGTGATTTGACTTGTTTGAATTAGCAAAAGTTCCTTTCAGTTTGCAGCTATTTCTAAAGTGGCTGCATAAGACGTCGCTGCACTTGTGTTGAAGTCCTAGCAATGGAGGTTTGATGCTTCTCCTCACCTCAGCATTGCATGGGGAAGGGATCCTGATGGTGTGAGCTGAAGGGTGGAAGGTGTTACACTTTTACTGCGGTTGCGACCACAAAGGTCACAAAAGTGGCCACACTAGCCGCGGCTAACGGACGGAGAGTTAGCCTGGCCCTGGGAGCAATACAAAACCTTAAACTCGTTTGTGTGTTTATGTGTGTGCGTGCGCGCAAGGATGTTCTTAGAAGTCAGTTTGACATTTGACATCGAAGGCAGTCCTGACTAAAGCCGTTAAGGAAGCAGCAGTGCGATCTCTTACAACCATGGGAAGACTTTATGCATTGCGCTTTCATGGACACATCGTTGACCTTTGAAGTGTCACTTGATTTGTCACTGGAACTGCCTTCGATAACTTCGAAGAGACAAAACCCCTAAAGTTGGCATAATAAACTTTGTTCTTTTTTCAATCTCAGCATTATGAAAAAGTTTCATTTAAGCAAAGCGTTTGCACTAGACAATTTTTTGACCAGATCGACTACTTTTGTGTTAACTTGACGTTTCATTCGTCGCCTTTGCTGTGTGACAGTGGCACTGCTTTGATCTCAAACCGTGCCGACGCATAGTTAAAATTCCTTCTATCAATTCACTCTCCCAGCAGGACATCGAATTTGAGTGGAGGCAGTTGCTCTCCACGGAACACTCGCACGACTTTTAGCAGTCATGTCCACAGTTTAGCAATAAAAATGGACCAGCAAGTTTTACCATAAAAGTCGGTACAGCCTTAAAAGCCCATTAATGCAGTGCGTGTTGGCTTTTCAAGCCTATTGTTGAGCGTGAAGAATGGGAGGAAAGTTTGCCTTCAAGATTATGCCCGAAGATAGAGCATGCGAGCAAAGTGTAATTCCGTTTGACAGCGCGTTTTGTCTTCCTCTGCTAGCACTAATTGCCGTAGAGGTGGCAGTGATCGCAACGATGCTAATCATCGAACCACCGGACACGGAGCTGCGGTTCTCCAAAGACCTTATTCGAGCTCGTCTGTGCTGCAACACCAGTCAACGCGGCACCATAATTCCTCTCGCCTTCCCCATTTTGCTCATAGGTCAGTTCAACCTCCCAACACTTCCTTTTGCCTCTGAACATCAGCACTTTCAAACCCGCTTGTAAGGAATAAGCCGCAGTGTCCAGTTTAGTTTTAAACAGTGGATAATCTTCTACCGTTTAAAAGGGACAATGAACTAATTCAAGCAAAGGTCGTGGCGTCTTACGGTGCGGCCGGAACCACAGTGAATTTATGATCAGACAAGGGAACAGTAAGCATTAGCGCACGGCGAAAGAAACCTTTTGTTGGCTGCACTCGGATTACTTCCTAATGCCCAACCCTATGGTCCAGGTCATATGAAGGGTCAACAGTTTGGCATTTACTTACATGACCCTACAAGAACCACTTAAGTTGAAATTGAGACTATAGAAATGCGTCAAAAATTCTCAGATAAGCTTCACATCTCTGTGGAAAAACTAATTCGTCTTTGATGTTTACTAAAAGCCAAGAGGATATAAAAGGCGCCTCATTCGTAGGAGACACATCATCTGCCCTTATGGAGGACCTGCAGAACAGAGAGTGAACAGACCCACCGATCTGTGCAGTCTTTGGGACAACGAGATTCAAATGCAAACAGAGGAATTGGCGGGGTTTTGTGCCTAGAATCCTCTCCTATGTCCCAAGTGGTCTCAGTGATATGCAAGAGGATTGGATCATCAGCCTTCGGAGGGTTCTACGGACAACAGGGCACAGACTGCAGCCTCGACGTAAAACAAGACATCACTTGTTTGCGGATTGGCAGCTTGGATAGTTTAAGTTCACGTTGCAGAGCAGTCTTTCCTCCACCAACGTCCTTTTCTTCTATGTTCACTCCAGATTGATTAATGTACATAAATTTGTCCTGAGGTCAGAATAGGCAGTCAGGGACTTCTACTGCAAGGCAAGGAATTTTAGTTCCATCATCAGTAAAGCATCGTGTCATTTTGTTTGCTTGAAGTTTCGTCCTCTGCTTAGCTTCGCGTTTCGACGCAACACGGAGCTAAGCAGACTTTCAACGCATCGCTCAATGCTTAGGGTGACATTTGCTTCTGCAAAAGGCAGAACTGAAGCCATCAAACATACATTTTGAAACGTTCTGAATGCTAAGTACCGCCTCAGTATATACTTTAAGAAGAGGCGGCTTTCAGTGTCACTGAGGTTTCTGCACAAGTTCCCCTCTGTGTACGCTGATCCTCTCACTTTGAATGCATTTTGCTACTGCGGCTTAAGTGTTCTCACTTTTGCCGCCACGATAGAATTTAATCAAATGCTAAACAAAAAAATTCCTTTAATACAATAAAAACCAAACAGATGCCGTGGAGTTTTCGTTGGTGTCGGGATTTGAAACGAGGATGTAATTAACAAATCGGGTAGACACTTGCAGGTTTTACAAGGTGATTGAAACCCCTCACATATTATGGTGAACTCAATGCGGTTTCAGAAAGATGTGTGCGGATTCTTCTTCAAAGTTCCTTAAATTATAATCAAGCAAACAATAGCGCGCCAGACTTAAGTCATGCATGGATGGAGGGAGTAGAATTTCTTGAAACCTTTTAGCTATGTGCACCATCTATGCCATAAAGACGCGCAACCTACCGCAGAACTTCAATGAAGCCAAATTCATCGGTTTCACCATGTACACCACCTGCGTTCTCTGGCTCTCCATCATTCCAGTCTACTTGTCAGGCTACAAGACTGAGGTGACGTTGACCCTTTGCATCAGCATCTCCGCCACAATTGCTCTCTTGGTGCTGTTCATGCCAAAGACCTACATCATCCTCTGTCGACCGGAGAAGAATTCGCGCATGTCATTCACCACAGCGAAGGACATTCGGTGTCACATAGGAGTGCTGCAAACCAATGTCAATAAAAAGGACAAACCAAAGAAAAAATTATTTGGGAAAAAGTGAGTTGTCCGCTTCAACTCATGCGGTGCTCTAATTCGCTCATTAATCAGATTTGGCATTGCACTGAAGTGTTCTGAAGTCCTGTTGATCGAAGTTAGAATAAAGAGGGAGAGGCTTGCGACAAAACCATCAACCATCACTAGAGCCTCGTTCGATAAAGCAGAAACGCATACGTGTCGCCGACCCTTCGACCGAGCACTTGGTCGTTTGGGGTCAGACGCTGGGCCGGTGCCCGCTGCATGGCCGGTAGTGAATTTCATCCAAAGAAATGTCATTCAACTCTCCCTCCCACCAGACGCCCTTTACATAACACAATTTTTCGAAATTGAGCTCTTGTACCAAAATTGTTTACAGAACGGTGTTGCATACCTCACAAAGAGGCTTCCAAGCTTCGCATTCACAAAAGTAAATTAACCGAAGCATTAAGAAAGTAGTATTTGGTAGTAGTTGAAACGAGTCTGTCAACAAGATGTAAGGAGAGAGGAGTCCGAATTATCGCATCATTAGATGGAAATTATATTATTAGAGCAAAAAAGGAAGGAATAACTTGTTGAAATGTGCTGCCAAAAGTTCACGTAATCTTCTATAGAGGAGGAGAAGGATTAGGCAAAGCTTCTTCCAGCAGTTAATTTTACTGAAGACTTTTAATGCTGCAGTCTCTCACTCTGCCGGTGTTGTGAAATCTTTGCAGGTCCTTAAAATCGCGACGCACGAAGCGTCTAGACGAGCGATAAGTAAGTCACCTAAGTTGCCTCACTGAGTCAACCGCTGTCCTGGCCCAAACTTGTGCTTCAATTGGTTATGCCAAGAGAATGTTCTTGTGCTCGGTCCTTAATAAGGAAATTAAACTACTTTTGGCACGTAAAGTCGTTTTACTACCCTCAATTGACCGTACACACATGAAAACACGGTCGACAACTGTATGGCTATGCACCGACTCACAGAGAGGCGGAGGGAGAATGCGTTGATACACGTCTCATACAGGTGTGAGTTAGTTGGGATGACGAGAATTGTTGAGGATACAATCACACGCTGTCACCTCACTTTAGTTCAGTAAGCAATGCAAAATAGCCAATGTTTTTTCAAGTCTTCTTGCTGCCGATCAATGCACGAGAGATCGGAAGTCGTCCAGCCTCCACTACGGTTTTCCTCTCATCACATGCTGCAACAAAAATGCTTTAGCGTTCACATGGAACCGGTTTTAACAGTTCCTGCTCAAAGGTGGCAATTCTCCCCAGTCACAAATGATGAACAACTTCCTCTTTGTCCCATTCCATAGAAATAAATAGACATTTTTATGTCCAAGTTTAATGTGATTAAAATCGTGAAATCAGACTGATGTTGTGCACCAGAACTGCTTAGCAATCTGTAATTACGAGTTGCTCTTTAGGTCTTGCCTCTGTAAACGTCTAACGTGATGGATGGTTTTCCCAATCTGGTTTTTGCAACTTTCTCTCAGTGCCGTAAGGAGTTAAAAATAGGGTCGTTTAACTATCTGATGCGTCTAATGTCGTGCATAATTTATCACTTCTAAGGACAAAAATGGGCTCTTTGGAAAGCTTGCAGCACATTAGAAATACGCGTGGTGAAGGAATTTACCGTTTCAAAGTAGTCAAAGTGTTTGAAGTCGGTGAGACACCACTTTCTGGGCTATCCTTTATTCTTGTCTTGGGAGAATTGCACCCCACCAATCATGAGACTTGTCAGCGTAATTCGATTTGAATAGTCAGACAGCCTTTAGCCTCACCGTTCGAAAAGAGTTGTACGTGCTGGAAAGTAGGCATTGGAAAATGCCAAAAACTTCCCATCAGGTCACCTTAATCGTCACATCTTGCTCTAAACATATTTAAACGCTCTGTTTTGCATGGATAATTGCATTAATTGTAAGAAACGATTTTGACAATCAGTTTCCTTAAATCTAAGGCGCATTATATTGTGTGCTCTACTCAATTCTACGCAGTACCATCACGACTCACCAAGACAATACGCGCCTCCATCCACTCGCACCATCCCTCCGTTCTGTGCGTGTGCGTGTATGTGCTTAAGCATACGCATTAGTGTCAAAACTTGTGCTCCTTCGTCATAAATGACTTAGAATCTTTGGCTAGGAATTAAATAAATCTGTGATAACTGCACCCTCGAAACAAGTAAAATGAGAGTTGGAACAAGAATATGACTCATTAGAAGAGTGGGAAAGGGAGACAGGTGACTTGTATATTGGGAGTTCGAAGAAAAAGAGTGGAACAATTATGCGCCATCTGATCAACTTAAGGGGAGGTATGAGAGGGTCCGCGGTTCGCGCTGCATTTTTGAAACTTTGTTATGATACCGCATCGTTGACTTTGTACTTAAAGGATTTATGCAGCAACATATTTTAAAAAATTTTTTCTTTATTAGGAGCAAACCTCTTGTAGGAAGAAAGTCCTCTGGTTATACTGAGGTAATGGAAATGGCAAGTGACAGAAAAACTTCATCGTCTCCGCTATCTCAGCCACCAGAAGTCCATTTCAAGGCATCGCCTGATCTAACGGCACCATCTACAGAGGTCTCTTCACCTAGGATAATGGAAAACAGCCCCAATCTAAAATTCGATGACGACACCGGTCGGGACTCCTCAGATTCAGTTCAAGTCCCTCTAGATGAGAATAGACAACGAAAGTCATTCATTCGGCGAGAACGGCGTCTTTTTCCACCTCAGTCGAGGCAATCAATCGTAGGCTTAAGTCATTTGGGCAAGAATACCTAATTAAGATCCTGACCAAAGGTTTAACCTTGTAGAAATCGGACGTGACCTGTCAGACTGACTGGAGCCTGCCTCCAGGCGGAGAATTGGAGTTGGCTGAGACTGAAGACTTTTCCACGGAGTCTGAACATAATTTGAGGCTATCAAGCTTCTCGTCGGAATGATTGTCCCATGACACCCACTACTGAAGAAACATGCACATATCATTTGAATCGATTGGCATTGCTGGTGTGTAAATGCGTTTACAAGTCAAAACTGTGCTTTCAATATGAATGAGTTGCACCTTTTATTGTAACTATACTCTACTAGATGAGTACCTTTTATTCATTGATTCTATGTACCCTAATCACATTGCTACAAATAATACGTTGCAGCTGCGACATTTTAGCAGTGATCTGTGAATATTTGATGAGTTCTTATACACTGTACAAATGGGTGATTTCTACTATGGGCTTGGAACCTAGCACTGGTTTCTTTTCAGAACCATAACTTCAGGTTTTCCGCCTTATAATTGTTAAATTCAAGTGTTACAAATTCGAGAACTATGCACTTAAATTTATCATAATCGTTCGTAAGGCATTCGCATTAGTAATAATTTAACACAGCTTATTCTAACCTCGTGACCTACCACAAATATTACCGTGATTTAAAATGCGCTTTTAAGTATGCATTGTTTGAACTTTTCATTTGTGTTGTAATGCTCTATTATCTGGTTGGGTCGAGGTTTGGTGACATTTTAATCCGGTGAGCGTTGCAATGAATCTGAAAGGACCAAATGTATCAGAAGTTTCCTTTGACTTACAAATGCCCCCTTTGAGTACTGACGAGACACTTCCACCGCTGAATCCAGGTTGGCTTCCTCGCTTCTATTTATTTCCAGCATTTTCCATAGTCCCAACCCGCAAAAGGAAAAGGAGAAATTTAACGTCAAACATGACGTCATCAGCTCTTAGAAGTGAGCGAAAGAGGTCGTACAAAGTGCTAGAGAAGATACTTATGGCCAAGCAGGAGGCATTAAGTGATCAACAATGCCAACTTGATCTACTAAGGAGTAAAGTGTGTGCCTTGAAGGAAGATAATCGCATGTTAAAGGCACAAGGCCATGTCCAAGCTGCCATTATTGAAAAGGTTTTATATTTATTTGATGTTTACAAGTGACACTTTTTTGACTTGCTTTTCTAGTTTTGATTAGGAGACTTAAGTATTCATTTTTCATGAGTTCTAGTGGGTAAATATTTTACCATAATGGCACTCTTGATTTAGTTGGACGGCAAGAATGCAAAGCTACCAATGCTGATGAACAGTCAGATGGAGGAGATAAGAGTTTATCGTGAGCAGTTAAAACGCTTAAGGGATATTTTTGTTCGCACAAATAAGGCCATGCAGGAGTCGGAAAATGCGCGTTACAGAGCGGAGGAAGAGCTACAGCATTTAAGGAGCCTTGCCTTTGAGCAGAATCTGCCGGAGCGCGAAGAGTTAATCTCGGCCCTGCAAAACCTACGAACAGAATATGAGTCTGTTGAGAGGGACAAAGTGGTCAGTTTTCAAATTTTGTACCGTTTCTAAGTGTTAATTTCCGCATTAGATAAATAGGTTTTCCATCGCATTTTTTGTTGCATTTAAGATGGTTCTCATTTTTTAAATGTCATTTTTAGGGCTTGTCGTACTGAATAGTATTTTCTCATCGACTGCCTCTTTTTTTCGCTTACATGATCATATGGTGTATAGGCTAATCATTCGTTTCATTTGCTCACAACTAAACCACCTTATGTAAAACACTGTTGGTTCATAAAA